GGAAAGCCTAGGCAAACCCTAATTCTAACTATAAGGGCAAAACCAAGGTTCTTTCCAGGGGATAGAGCACCCTCTACTAGCCCTCTACTCTTGGGCATGCCACCCTTATTTCTAACTTGGGGCGTGCCACCCCTTAAAACTTTGTCTAGAGAGAAGATGAGAAGACAGAGAGAGAGACAAAGGGAGGAGAGAGAAGGGCATGCAACCCTAGGGAGTAGAGAGAGAGAGAGAGATCTAAAAAAAAGTGTGTACAGAGGCCACCCCCTCAAGGGGTATTTATAGTTGCAATCAAGGGTTTTTGGGGTCTAAGGTTTTCCATCTTACTAAGACTTAATCTTGACCGTCAATCTAAGGATATATGTGGAGTGAAGAGATCTTAGCCACCCATTCCCTAAATCAGCCACCATGATTAAAGGAAAGGTAGTGGAACAATTATCCATCAGTCTCCTTAAACCCATTTCCATCAAATATTAGATTCTATGAAAATAAGGTATGTGTCATAAAATCCCAATTTATGGAAGAACTTACTAAATTTTCAATCAATCAAGCCTCTCTCTCTTTTGCCCAAATTATTCTGAATACATTTTCCAAATCTTTGACTTCTTCTAGAAGTCCTCTTCAATCAAACAAGATAGACAGAGAGAGAGAGAGAACAAGGGGGTGGGGGTGGGCCTCCACACCCTTAAAACAATTTTACAACAAACAAAATAATTTTTAAAATCCATTTAATATTTTAAAATAGCTTTGTATTTATAAAATCCTAAAAAAAATCAATTTTTAGCTATCTAAACATTCCTTTTGAGAAAATAAAATATACAAAACATTCCAAAAAAAATTTATTTCAATGTTCCATAATTCAAATAAAATATATTTAATACAATTTAAATGGAATTGGATCGATTGGGTTAAGGATCATGTGAATTCAGTGAGGCACTCCATCTATACTACCAACTGTGAACTACAATCATCTTCTCAAACTGACCCAATGAAACCCATAACCCACAGCCCATCATAGTAGTTCATGATTGGTCTCAAAGTCAGCAAATAAATGAAGAGAACACGATTCTAGCCCATGGATTACGGATCCCCCCTTGAGAGCAAGCTGGGTCCTACAAGACTTACTCACACTATAACAATGGTACAAGGGGTCATCTCTTCTATACATGAATACGTCATAGCCTCACGGTTGTGCCACATGCCCAGCGCTTAGCTCGTCAAGCCTAGATGAGTCATGGCATCAAAATGCCTCCTTTGGTTTCAATGGACCCAACTCCCACTGGAGTTATCATATCACTATATCAAAAAGTTTTTTACATGCTCTCATAAGGCCTTTAAATCACCACATAACCCCAACACTTTTGTAATGGAATTTCAGTAATAATAGTCTGTACAGCTCAGATGGTTACGTTTTCAACTCCTAACAATAGCTCATTTCTGCAAACCTCCAACTATACAGATGTGGTCTGCCAGCCAGAACCCATTTTGAATCTTCACAGAAGAAGCTGAATTCAGATAAACTGGTACAGAAGACTTGTACTGTAGATCAAAATACCTGAGTTTATTGGGCAACCAAAGACTCATTTGGACAAGCACCTTCACATATATGAGACTTTAAGAGCACAAAAGGGTGAGCAAAAAAATGGTAATCCCATGTCTAAAACTTCACATAGATCTGGTTAAAAATCCTCATGCAAGACAGAGTGGAGCTAGGATCTGGTTTGGTTGTGACTAGCTCTGATACCCATTTAAGAAAACCCCTTTGAGTTACTGAAAAGAGTTGAAAAGTATACCTAAATGTCCTTATTACATACACGAATAGAAAGATTGCAGCATGTTTCAACAAGGAGGGGGCAACATAGTAAATTTACCCCATCAATCACCTGACATGGGATATCAAAAAGTACACTAAAATAAATTCAAAGCACAACAAAGTTGACATGTAGATGGCAGTAGTTCATGAACTTCTTGGAACAGTCCACAAACTAAATTGCCGTCAGGAGGATGTCACACTAAAATAAAACTCAAAGCACAAGATTGACTAGTAAAGGAATGGTATCTAGGCCTGGGTGGTCAAGGTGGCAGGGTTCCACAACATGATGTCTAGGAGTTCCATTCCTACCAAGGACATTCCACAAAGAAAAAAAGATTGACAATTAGCATTCCACAAAGAAAAAAAGATTGACATCATGCTGAAAGTAGTTCTAAGGATTTATTGTAGCATTCCACAAACTAAAATGCCACCGCTAGGATATTCCATTTCAGATTTCCTTTGGCTACTCATACAACTAATGGGTCCAAATCATGCAAAGCTATATACAAAAACTCCAACACCAAGTTGTAAACTTGTAGCATGTTGATTTTGAGTGATACACATAATCAACTGAAAGCATGACTCGCATCAAACGCATTTACATAGCCAAGATGGAAAGATCATATTTAAATATGAGATGCCAACATTACATCATCAAGTGAAATACTCTTCATAAATATTTGAGCTTCGGAAAAATAGGTGAGCAAACTATTTGAGGTGCATGAATAAATTGTCAGGTAAAAATGGAAGCCTTTCATAGAGGGAAATTTTCAAAAGAAGAAGTAACTAGCGAGCCCCACACTTTCAATCAAAAAAGTGCAGCACCCCTTTATTTCCCCACATTTTGGATGATTGAGGACCAAAACTCTGCAAATCCATCCTTTTGGCCCCCTGGCACTTTCCTAGGAAAAAATGAATTTGGAGCCATATAAAGGCACCATCTTAAATGCCATCTCAAAAATTTGATCTGGCACTTCATTTCAACACATGTCACACCAAAAGAATATGCACCAATTTTAGAAACTCCAAATCCATTTTTTGGGGGCAGAAACAAATTTGCAGAGACTTTGACAATTTTTTGGCCCCTCAGTCCACCGAAAAAGATGGTTGAGGGGGGCCGCATGGAGATAGCATAAGGCAAGGGACACAAGCTACCACTACCCTTTTCAAAAGGGCACTTCAGACAAATATAGACCAAACATCGCAATACAGGCACACTTGGACTAAGTCCACGACCACCACACCAAAAATTAAGGCTACAAAAGAAACACATCACTGTGTGAACTCATTTCGGGGCAAGTCCCAAAATTGACTTGCCAAACTGAGAATTGTAATTTTTTCCAGTCATTGAACACCTCCATGCAACATACCAACATGAAGAATCGACAAGACAATCATAATCAACAAGTTGAATTGTAAACTTCTCAACATTATGATGCAAATGCCTCACTGCACAGTTGTAGAAAGTCATACCCCTATATAGAAGTTGCTAAATCGACACCACTAATAGAAAAAAGAACAATTTGAGCATCAGAAAACTTAACCTACCAGACAACTTAACAGAGCTTCGCAGTCCTGTCAATTTGCGAGCTAGTTCATAGGTAACATAAATCCAGATTCACGCTAATTTTGGCCCAGAAGAACTCTATCGTGATTGCTTCAGAGAATTCCCTGGATAATACTCAAAACTGAAATCATATCACAAAGCATTTCAATATCTGCTAAGATCTCTAACTCATCCCACCACGTTGCAATTATGAGTTATCCTTATCCTATCCATAAAAATCCGGAGCATTAAGGGATCTTAGTATCTTCCCGCATAAATTGGTAATGCCTTGAAATTCATGTAGGATTTGGTTTTAGTATCAAGTGAGATTGCAATAAGCAAATATGACTCTTTGTTATAAGCCAATGAAATCTTTGTTATAAGCCAACGAAAAATGCTTGGCATCATGGAGAAGGTCCCGAAAACAAGAAAAATATAGAGACATCCTGTAGAGTTACATCTATTTTACAAGTTGAATATTTTAAAATCCACATTATAAAGACTTTAGAAAGGAACAGCCTTTACAAAATGATGTCCAGGGACCTAAGTACTCAATTTTTTCAACGCCTACTCATTCTATCAATGTATATTCAAGCATCTGCTCCAATTATAGACATCAGCTGCCCATCTCAAGTTGCAAAGTTGGCTACCCAACTTGAAAACAGACGTCAAGTTAGGCCATCCCCAACTTCATTAACTTTTACACAAGTTGTTCGATTTTTCAAGATCAAGAAATCTTTCTTCTTCTTTTTTGAGAAAAGGTCAAGAAATCTTTCCTGCTTTTTGCTTTGAAGAAATTGATTGAAAAAAGTTCACTGCTTTTTTTCGTTTTTCTTTTCTGAACTTGCAGTCCCCCTTCCTTCCTAGCTTACTCTTCTCCCACTAACAACATACATACCAAAGGTCTGTGATCTATTTATCGCAAGTTTTTGAGTTACCCATACTAATCATTTTTCTAAAATATACTGCATGTGGTGAAAGATCTGAAATGTCCAGTCACTGTCTTGAACGGAACTGCAGTCAAGAACATGGGAAACTAAATGATGTTGAAGACTTTATAATGGGGTATAAGACAGCATATTTGTCACTCCACAACTGTGCGTTTCAGTGTTTTTAGCATCATTTCCGTGGATGTTATGATTCATGATATTCAAGTATATATATCAAACCCTAGGAAATCAGTTAGGCATGCCCATAATGCACAACAAGCACATTTTTCATAATTTACGATACAATAAATTTGAATTTCATGTCGATTTAATATTATGTCAGATCCTTTCCTCCTATCGAGAAAAATTAAGAACAAATTAAAAACTTGCCAATTTTGGCACTGCCATAAGACTCGACATACCAATTTCAAATTGTTTCTCCAGTCTTGAATTCTATTATACTCCAACTGTTTGAATCAAACAATGCATATTTAGAATGAAAATCGTAATGTACAACAACTTTGAAATTCAGTTTTTACTCACAACATATGCAATTTAATAGCAGGTATGAAAGGCAAGCAATGCTCATTAAGATATGCCATGGACTACACAGTATCCAATTAAGTTAACCAAAAATCAAATGACTAAGCAAGCTCAACAAATTTTGATAACATGCAAAGACCAAGCCAACAAAATATAATCCCAAATGGCATACCTTCACTGCTTTGTGTAGGATTCTCTATACTAGTTAATAACTGGTTTTGTACAACAGGTAATGCCCCAAAACTTCCATGGGATTTCTCATTTTCGACATGGTTTCCTTGTGTGAAACTACATGAAGTATGCTCCCCGCCATCAACAAACCCAATATCCTTAACTGATGTTTTAATCCCTCGACGTTCAAGTAATTTTGATCTCAATGATGCCTCGATAGTTATGGAATCTTGCATTGAATGTGAACAGGAAAGGAAACTTTCCATGCGAGACTGAGTTTCTTGTTCTCCAGTCACATGATGTGGGCTTTCTTCTTTACTCTGGCAGAGCAAACCAGATGTCATTGCTTCATGCTCAAAAGGAGAAGTTTTTTGCCCATGGTCGGTGGATGTTTTAGAGATATTGAAATGCCTTGTGACGCCAACAGCAGTACTGTTGTTCTTATGCAACAACTTAGATTTACTTAAATCTACCTCAGCACAAGTATCATTTTCACAATCTTGACCACATTGGTAAGAATGTGGAGTAGGATTATCTAAACATTGAGGGTTTTCTTCAGAGGCTCCCTGATGTGGAACCTTAGAATTAACCTTCATCAGAGAGCTTCCAGGAGCCAGGTTGTCCAACTTGGTATTTGAAAGATTGCTTGACAAAAGTTGCTCATTTATCCTTGCGCCACACCCTTTTGAGGGCTCTAACAAACTGCACGTTTCGGTCACATAATACGCCTGAAGTTGTAAAGATATTGTTTCCCTCCTCTTATACAGAGAAGAACATCTACTGTTAGCATCAACTAAATTCCTTTGAGCTTCACGATATGCTTTTAAAGCTTTTCTTTCTTGAAGCTCGCACATGCGTCTGTGCTCCTGTGCATCTTCTAACTCTTTGTCTAGCAGCTCTTCATCCCTCATTAAAGATTGCACAGTCAAGTTCTTGTTCCCAGAAAGATTGAGTTGCTCCCTATCGCTTAAAAGACTTGAACAGAGAGGAAGAGATTCCTTTTCATGCTGCATGAGGAATATTAATTAGCAAGGCAATCCACTGAGAGACCAAGAACAAACAACAAAAGGAAACAAGAACAATTACCTTCTCTAGAATGGCAGGACCTTGCTCACTAATCTTCACCTTGCTCTCTTGCATATGGGCTACACCTCCAGAAAGTTCATCAGGAATGTTGGCAAGTGCTTCATCTGAGAAGACTGCACCACGATCAACACTTGATGGTTGACCATGAAGATGTGATCCTTTTCTTTGAGCCATACTAGAAACAGGGTACCCCTGTTACAAACAAGGATGGCCAATTGGACAAGCATCATTTATTAGGATAACGTAATCATTATACAAGGCAGAAGTTATAATTTACCCAAAAAGAGCTTTGATTCTCAAAGCAGACTGAGACCACTAGAGCGAAAACTATTAGGAGAAATAAATTAAGATATGGATACCATTCTGCTACTGGAAAGCATGCAAATGTCAGAAGTTAGTACCAGTATGTACGATGGGTATTTTAAACAGAAACATTGCCAAAAAAATGAACTTACTAAACTACATAGACACAGCCAATCTAACAACATTTAGGTGACTACACACCATTTCATTTTACACCAGCTCACTCTGCTTGCTGAGCTTCCTCCCTCCACTCCCTTGGAAGGTCCATACCTCTTTCTCTCTCTATGCCCAAAAAGTAATTTGGGCAACAACCCCACATCTTCCCTATCCACCCTCTCTCAGTTTGGATTTGGTTTCTCATATTAGGCTTTATTGGCAACAGTATTCAAGGGAGATACAAAGGAAGTAAAACATATTAAAGAATTACGAAAAATAGCAAGACGTAATTTTGGAAGAAATTGGTAAATTTTAAGAAAAAATTGGGAAAAGAAAAAGAAATTGTGAGTTTCAGGTGGCAATGGCGAAATCTTATGAAAATTCCCAAAAGATGATCACAAAATGAAGGTTTATCTATTCCCCTATCCGTCTATTTACCCATGTGTGTGTGTGTGTAATGGTTGTGTACATATATTGATCTTCGAATCTACACATACAGGTACAGCCATAGATAAAGGCTCAGATAATGCACATCAAAATGATGTAAATTCAACTCTCAAAATGAGAAGAAATCCACAAATACTCGATACACATAAAAGTTCTGTACACATGAGATTTATAAAAATACACTTCAATATAAAAAGAATAAAAAATTAAATACCTCATGAGTATAGAAGGAATTAAAAATAGTGCACACATAATAAAAAAGAGAAAAAAGGTCGTCTCTTAAAGTTCCCCCATAAGATAGAGATTGTGAAGATGCAGAGAAGAGAACCAAGTAGCTCTTTCTTAAGCCATAGAAATAATCATCAGAAAGTTCATGGGAGAAAATCAGTAAGTTGATCCTGAAACTTGAATACTAGATAGAGCCCACCCAGTGACTTTCCAATGAATTGTGCGATAAACTATCTTAATGTAATTGGCACAAGTATGGAAATAAGGTATGCATCTTACATGCAGTGTTCCAAAAAGCGGACCGCCCAGTGCCTGGGCCTATCTGAATATGATTGGCACAAGTATGGAAATAAGGTACGCATCTTACATGCAGTGTTCCAAAAAGCGGATCGCCCAGCGCCTGGGCTGCCGCAGAGGCGGATCTGGGGGCCTGGGCACATCGCCAAGGCCAAGGCGCCCAAAGAAAGCGGTGGTCCCTAGGCGCCCGCCCAGGTCTAGCGCCTTGCCCAGAGGCGGAAATTGCTTTCGATGGGGGCGTTTTTTGTCCATTTTTTTATACTAAAGGGGCAAAAATCGAGGTTTTAGGTTCATTTGAAACCTAAAACTTATTGGAGCCCACTCGAGAGAAAAATCCCCCAAAAAACTAGTTTCTTAGTGATTTCTTTAGGATCAAAGGGTTTCTTAAAGTTATGAGAAATTGATCAAAACATCACCCACTGATATTAGATTTAATTTTTGATGTTTTATAAATCTATTGGGGGTTTTTTATAAGAATTTGAGTCCTTAGAAGCATCTTTGAGGTGGGAGTTTGGAGATTGAGCAATCAAACTCAAAGTGATTTTTTTCTATTGCTTGTATAAATTGAATTATTTTGAGATGTCTTCTTCGGAATCTAATAGGAGTGATGATTCCGGTTGGAAATATGGCTACAACTCAAATCCTAATGATAAAAATTGCATAAGATGCAATTTTTGTGAGAAAGATTCAAAATAGGGCATAAACTAGTTCAAAAAACATCTTGCCGGTATCAGGGAGGATGTTACCCCATGTAAAAAGACTCATGATGCTGTTAGAGAGGAAATAACCAATGTTTTTAATATGCTAAAAATGAAAAAAGATGAGAGATTTACCTCCATAGCAGAGATTAAGTCTGGGGTTCGGGTCAATTATGATGATGATGATAGTGATGAGGATGGGATTGGGGACGGATGTCGAGAGGTAGAAGTAGAACAATCCATTATTTGGGGAAAGGGAAAGGGAGTTGTAATTGCTTCTGGTTCTGAGAGTAAGAAGTTTCGGGTTAGGGGCCCTATGGATAGTTTTTTGCCTTGGCCAGACCCTGAGGTTGCGGGAGAGAAAACAAAGAAGCAAACCGGAGTTGAAAATAAAATGAAGGAAGAGAGAGATAGAGATGTTTATTATCTTACAACATGGTTTTATGAGGTGAGCATTCCTTTCAACACCGCTCACTTAAGCAGCTTCAATGCCACGGTAGAGGCAATTGGCCAATTTGGGCTTGGGATGAAACCTCCAACCCCATATGAGTTTTGAAAAAGGCGGTAAGTGTCACGAAGTAAGCTATAGAAGTTAAGAAGGATGCATGCGCTCAGTATGGGCTTTCTATTATGACTAATGCTTGGAGTGATAAGAAGAGAAGAAGTCAGATGAATTTGCTTGTAAATTGTCCTTTAGGGACTGTTTTTTTGAGGTCTATTGATGCCTCTGATCATATCCATGAAGCCCCCATTACATATTCCAAGTTTTAGATAAGAGAATCAAGGAGGTTGGGGAGCATCATATTGTACATGTTGTCATAGACAATGCTGCTCCTAATGTTGCAGCTAATTTGTTGCGCATAGCTTATCCTAGAATCTGTTGAACACCATGTGCAGCACATTGTATAGACCTCATGCTTGAGGCTCCTGGCGGTTTAACCGAGCTATCAGGCACAGTGAAGAAGGCAAAGTTAGTTACAAATTTCATTTATGGCCATCATCTCAATGAGTAGATTTATAAAGAAGAAAGAGATTGTGAGGCCTGGAGTCACGAGACTTGCGACCTGGTACTTATGCCTAGATAGCATACATTCGAGAAGAGTGCAGTTGAGGCAGATGTTTACCTCGGATGACTGGAGAGCATGCAAGTGGTTCAAGGATCGGGTTAGGAAGAATGTGAAAGATATTATCCTTTCTAAAGCTTTTTGGCGAGGCCTGAAGGGCGCTCTTAAGGTTTTTTTTCCTCTTGTCAAAGTCCTTCACATGGTTGATAGTGACAAGCCTTCTATGGGCTATATATATAAGGCTATGGAGAAATGCAAAAGAGAGATAGCCCAAAATTTTGATGATGATGAGAACTACTACAAGCCTGTTTGGGAGATTATTGATGAGAAGTGGGATAAGAAGCTACATCGGCCATTACATGCAACTGGTTATTATTTAAACCTAGTTTTTTTTTACGTTGACAAGGATAAACACACAAATGATACAATTATGATTGGAATTAATAAGTGTGTAGATGTGCTAGTCCGTGATCCTGATATCCAGGATATTATATGCGCTGATGAGCTGATAAATTACAAGTGCCCATTAAAGTCTTTTGGGAGTCCAATGGCGATGAGACAAATGACCAAAATTTAAGTAGTAATAATATTCTTAAGTTCATCAAGTTAAAGTAATCAAGTTTCATTTTTAATATTCTATTATTTATTTATGATTTTATTCTATATTGGTGGAGCCAACATGGGTGTAGTTCTCCAAATTTACAAAAGGTGGTCATTCGGAGCTTAAACCTAACCACTTCCTCATCCGGTTGTGAGTGCAATTGGAGTACTTTTGAAAGGGTAAGGTCGTAAGGGTAATTTATATAATTGTATTAATAATACATGAACCATAGATTTAATTAGTTTCATTTGATTTTGTTAGATTCATACAAAGAAAATGAACAGGCTTGAATCAAAGAGGTCCAATGACGTAGTCTATGTCAAGTATAATTGATTCTTGAAGGACAAGTTTGCTAAGAGAGATAAGAGAGACCCCATCAGATCAAAAAATATAAACAATACTATGGAGTGGTTGATTGATGATGATGAGGTCGAGGGGTATGAAGGATTGATATGGAACATGGTCATGGATACTTCAGGGACATCAACTGACCCTCCTAGAGCCACTAGATCTTCTGCACAGAGAACGAGGGTGGAGGAGGAAGAGGAGTAAGAAGAGGCAGATTCAGAAGAGATGGAGGAGGACGACCAATATGTCGAGGAGGGTGACAACTCCGATGAATATGATGAGCTGACCCTAATTTTTCTGATGATGAATGATGAATGTTGAATAAGTATTAAATTTTGAACTTTGATTGAACTATTGTTTATTGAAGATTCTTTTGAGTCTTCAAGTATTACTTTCATTTTTGTTTTCTTCCTCATGGTGGTGTAATACTGTAATGTGATTTGTGGATAGTGGATTTGTAGTTCTACTAGTTTGGTACTATTTGGTAACTTTGGTTTGGTAATTTGGTTAGTTGGTAAATTTTAAGTTTTAATTGGATATGGAATATGGACCGACTTATGGTTATGCTTATGGAGTGTGTGCTAATGTGGTATACTTTGAATTCTGATGTGCCCTAAATACCTAATTCTTATATTTTATATAATATATAACTGTAGAATCCTTTTTGGATTCAACTGGGCCACCCAAGTTCTAAGCGCCGGGCGGCCTGGACCCCCCAGGTCGCTTAGGACCCGCCTAGCACTTTTTGAAACACTGCTTACATGCCATAGTTTGCCAACCAAAGGGGTCAACAACAACAAGTGACTTGCTTGAGTTGACCTAACTAGATCACAAACCAGGTCAAATTAGGCTATGGCCTGGCTTTCTGGAAATTATATGCTTTCCCCCTAAAACTTTCCCCTAAAACTTTCTTATTTTGTAAGATTCCATGAATAGAGAGGAAGCCCAAAAGGGAGTCGCTTTGTATTCGATCCTACACAATATTAAGGGGAAATATACTGCAATACACGCATTATCCCGCCCCTTAAATTAAGTAGATCAATTTTCTTATTTTTAGTTGGATTTTTATACTAGTTACAAGGAGTGAGAGAGGAGCAAGCAGGAGCAAAATATCAAGCCTTAGTAGAAGCACCCTCGTTTAGGAGCCCCTAGGAGTGTTGTATAAGTCATATAGAAAGTAATAAACTTCCATAGAAATTTAGAAGTATTATTAGTAAAGTTTACACTATCATATATCATGCACATAACAAAATCCACAAGATCCACTAAGCCAGGTCAAAGTGGAAATTCCCACATGCTCTCTATTAAAAGAGGTAGCAAAGTCCAACAAAATTTACTACTATTTCATATCATTTATAGAGAAGAATCAAGCTAAAATATGGCACTATAGCTCAAAGAAAAACCAAATAATTATGGGTGGGTCAGTTGCCATAATAGTATGAATGCATATGGATTTCCAATGTTCAAATGTCTATTCTAGACAACAAACAAGATTAAAAGTAAGCCAAGACATAAAAAATAAACCAGAAATAAGTAGAAATATCCTTAAAAATTTATATACATATTGAGTGTCTATATATAACCGACACTAGTGCGCCTCTCAAACATAAGATGAGAGAAAGTAAACTTCGGTGGGCTCGCCATGTGTGGCGCATGCCCAATACAGTACCGTGCGAGTTAGTTCAAGTGGAAGGCTCAAATAGGCAAGGGTTAGGCCTAAAGGAAGATGGTTGGAAGTAGTGAGAAAAGATATAAGGACTTATAGCCTCACTGAGATTATAACCTTTATGGAGTAGAATGACGGCAAACGAGGATTTGCGTAGCCGACCCCCCAATTAGTTGGGTAAAGGCTTTGACAATGATGATGACTAGTGCGCCTTTCAAACAGGAGAATCCAAGTTAGATAGCTTCCCAAGTATCAAGCGTGACAATCTGAAAAATGTCAAGCATGAAAATCTGAAATGGATACTACTACTCCTGTGATGTACCTATGCTTCTACTTGCTTCAATGGAATCTAATTAGGACCTAACTAAGAAAGGATTTTCATGCTCATATTCTCTTTCAAATTTGGTCTAGAATGAGAGTTTCAACCTTCTTTAAAAATCTAAAATTTATCATTTCATGAATTTTGTAGTTCCATAAAGGGACCCACCAAAGGAAAGCGGGGACTGTTACCTAATAACATTAGCGAAAAGAATTCTCAAGAAAATGGGGAACAATGGGAATGCATTGCTCCATGCCCCAACTTCGATAGATGAGTTTTAGACTATTTGTGTATTTCTGATCCATATTTTTCGAGTACCTTTATTTCCTTACCATTTATTATTTTATAACATAATATGAGAAATACTTTCTGTCTACCTTATTACTATTATTGTTACCACATTGTATATTCCTATGACTTTCTCTTTATAAATTTAAAATTCTTCAAAAATCATGTGTCTGACCCACCTGGTTGACACTCGACCTCCAGGGTCACAAGATGACCCAAGCAGTGACAACAGAGTCGTATCCAGGTCAGAGTTTGCAAACCATGATATATGTAGAACTAGACATGATATATATAGAACTAGACTATCGTAATAGTGTGACAAACTGAGATCAGCAAACTCTTTTTATATAAGCTTAAAAGAAGTGAAAGTCTAAGATCTCATTCGGACAATGCCGATCATGTAACCATGCCAAATGAATATGAAAAGCATCAAATGTTCTAGGCTCTCCAAAAAATCCCAGTTGCAAAAATTTCGCATTCATTATATATTTTGAATCACTCAACATACAAATGCAAAATTTTCTGGTAACCATATTTCACTAAGCTACATCAATTAGGATCAAGATTACACATAAGAACTTCAGCAGAAAAATCTTACTAGGAGATGAGAGGAGAGCAGAAAAAATGAATTCTATTGAAGCCTCTAGATTAAAAAGGAATCTTACGAAATTATTTATAGCATAATTCACATGCTGGCATAAAGGTACATCCTCTGCACGTGAAACCATTAATTTTTGCCTCAAATCTCCATTTACAGGTGCAGATGGAAGCATGGCCCGGGCTCTCTTTTCAGCCTGGCTGAAATCCTCAGACACACATGTCCTGGAGAAGTCACAATTTTTCCTCTTTATTGGCAAACAGTTTATGGTTTTAGTACATGACAACACGCAAGACGTAGGAGCATCTTTCACAGGAACTAAGACACTTCCCAATTGAACTGGAACTCGACCACTATGCCTTCCTTCCTGAACATTTGTTTCTTTCAAGGCATTGTTGATGAGTAGAACATTTTCTTTAGTAGATCCCTTCCATTGCATTGAATCTAGGTCTCTTGGACGATTCTTGTTCATGAAAACCTGAGGATCCTCAGATCCATCTTTTTTCAAGACCACTTGTGGTCTCTTATCTAACCTCTCATGAACTTCCCGCACTTTGGACAAGGAATTATGCTGAAGCATCACTTGATTTTCCCTCATTGCAATCTGCTGCCGCAGAGTCTCAAAATTGTTATCCGGCACTTCCACACCTTGAAAAGATCCAGATTTCTGCTTTGTAGAAACCTTACGAGGCACATTTTCTCTTGGAATTTGGAGTTCTCGCTCAACAACATGACCTTCACAACTAGTTGCAGGTACTGAAGTCTTACACAACCCAGGTTTGCGGATAAAAGAGAACTTTTTCCTTATTATAGATGCCTTACTGTGAACATTTTGCTGTGCGGTTGCCAACCTAACCTGTTTGGAAGCAGCTGAGTTTTGAGGCGTATCATTTGAGTGGGGTCCATTGTTTGCCTCATGAGTTTTATCCAGAGTTTCCTCATCAGGGTCACTTTCACTCTCACTATCTGTAAATCTTATCACAAGATTGTTGTCATCATTAAACGACAAAGGCCTGCCTGATATCTGAGTTGCACTCAGTTTATTTGCTGGAGCAACAAAGCGTCGTCCACTTGATATTGCAGCACGGCCAGTCCGAGTTTGTACGTTTACAGAACTTGGGAGACCTTTTGCAGGGACAGTCCCTGTTGTCACAATGTAAGAACTGTTAGCAAAGGAATGCCAAGACAGTGGCATGGATAGGCCGAGTCATGGACAGCTCAATTTGAAATCTTGACTTTGTATTACAATGAAAGTACATCAGTCGGGCCAACTTGGGTGATACCTCATATGAAGCATGACTATACACATGCCACAAACACATGTAATGCACGTGGAAATATATATAATGCAGAGATGCGCACATATATATGCACACACAGATTTGTAAATGCAGTGTAGAACTCCATTAGAGCATTGGATAGAAAAGGAAAGTTGATGATTCACAGAAGAATATTGCAAGCTAGATAATATACCACAAGCACATATAAACAGTGTGGGGAAAAGAATACATCAATGTTTCTCGGTTAATTAAATAGCATTTCACTTATTTCAATACAACATAAAACTCTTTGATAGTTACAAATTTTAGGATCAACAACATATAAAAACAGAAACATAAAAATTCCAACAGCTTTTCCATTGGGGCATAGGATACAAAAAGGAAAGACATTATTTCTATAAAGAAGTGATAAACTCCGGATTGCAAGACAAAAATCCTTCTTACTAACTATATAAGAGTTAGATGCTGTGAGGATTAAACTTACACCTAGCCAAGGAAAGAAACTTCCCAAAAATCATATCATTCCTTTAAAACTCTATAGATCAGCAAAAATGTGGTCAAGTCAACTTAAATTGATGCCCATACATAACAAAAATTCCATTGAAACTGACCAAATCAAAAAATCCAATTTTTCACAAAAGTTTTGGAAGACATGATTGTCAGACTAACTTCAAAAAAAAAAATTTGAAGAAAACAAAATATTAGCATACTATATTATATTAGCATATTATATCATATTTTGAAGAAAACAATTTTTTTTCTTCATGCTTTTTGGACCAAAACCAAAGTAGTAATGACTTCTTGGATTCAAAAACTACTGCCATTTCACTTATTGCTAACATGGCCAAAACTATACCAATGTCAACACTATAAATATGCGATGCAGGGATTAATTCCAAAAATGGGGGTTGTAATCCATGTTGGACACTCCAAAATCATATGTAAGCATAAAACTTTGTCTTGAGTCATATAACCATGCAACTTTGTCAGGACCAGAAGTCTTACGCATGTTTATGTTTGGCAGGCACCAGAAATCTAACTTCTAAGGGTTTTCAATGTTGAGGAAGCACATTATGGCAGAAGCGGAACTGTGCCGAATTACATGAAACCAGAGAAAAAGTAATTTGGACTTTTCTTCTACTTCTTGGCTAGTTTCCTGGGACAAATTTTTGACAGGTAACAATTCTGTTTTAGCTTCCTAGTTATCAGTTTTCTGTGCATGAAATAAGAGCCAGCAAGCCACTACAATACAAGTACACAAGGAACATATTGTACAGATGAATGGAAGCATTGCATGAGGATCAATGCTTCAAGCTCGGCAAGAGCTTCAATATTAAGGACAAAAGTAGTCAAGAAGTCTCAATTTGCAGCTATTTTAACAGTGTATAAAGAGTACAACAGAAAAATAGCAAAAGGCAGAGCAAACATAGAATCTCATAGCAAGTGTCAGATGAGACCTCTCGCAGTACAAACAGAGTGGAGTCAGCAGCACAAGAATGAATTTCTTCAAAGTAAGTCGATTAGAATGAGAGATACATTCTTGATAATCACGAAATGACAAAGTCAAATATGCTTTTGTTTTATCATAACAAGCACAAACATTTCACAAAATTAAATATTTCTGCATGTCAAAAATCAAATACGAATACCTTCTTCCTTTTTCTTCTAGAGCCAATGATTAAAACACAATCCATAAGAGCTGTTTAAACCGAGAAAGATAGAACTAGAGAGGAAATAGGTGATAGTGAGAGAGAGAGAGAGAGTACAAAAAGATAAACTGAACAGAATACAACAAAATGTGGAAAATGAACCATACCAGAAACTGCGGTTAGTTGGTTCCTGTTCTGCTGAATAGAAGTAGAGGGGGGAGCAGAAGCAGGTATTTCCTAGAAAAATGAAAAGAGCATAAACCTAAGAAAAATGAAATAAAACTGAACAAAAAGAAATAGTTATCACAGAAAGCATGGGACTCGGACAAGCAAAAGATATATAAAAAACAAAAAAAAATAAAGAGAGAGTTGATAAAGTGATAAATCCACGCAAAGAAATCAACAAGAAAATAGAATACAACAACAGTTGACAAATAACAGAGCACTTTAGCTAAGAACCCATGCAAAGAAATCAACAAGAATATAGAATACAACAACAATAGAAAAAAAACAGAGCAATTTCCCTTAAGCTAAAACATATCTACTTTGCCAAGAACAAGTGAATTTACATTTACCTAGGAAGAACTTTATTAGCCAAGAACAGGTGACTTTAAAACTAGCTAAACAGCACTTCTTTTTATCAACAACAACATAGAAGCTTACTTCAAGCGTAAACAGAAATTATCCCCAGAGAACACAGAAATCTGGTGATCCAGCTAAATCAGAAAACATCAGAAAAGAACCGATAAATTTATGCATGGCAAAACATAAGTCATCAGCGAATAACCTAAGTATTTGCATCTAAGGTTAAAACATGAATTATCATTGGAAGTTTAGAGATTTAACTGTTTCCTCAGAAGAGAGCTCCCCTTCTTCCTTGCCCTCATCTTTGGGCTTAGAATTAGGGTTCTGTGAATAGCCCATGGATGCTAAGGCCTTAGCCCTCAACTCCTCTATTTCCATTGACCTCTCTCTTCCAAAATCACACCATTAAAGCTCGAAACATCGGTCCTTGAGAAGAATTAGCGTTCATAGAATCACATAAAAGAATGCGCTTCTCTGAAAAATAAGATAACTTAGTTTTGAGGAGGGTTTCATCATCTGTTTACTAAAGCTGTTATCGAACAAATGTATTGTCAGTTGAAAAATGGAGGGGAAATTGGCGCTCCAGATTTTACAGGTGATAATATATCGCACGATGAGATGAAGTCACCCTAAATAGAATCGGGATCACCGTCCATGTTTTAACACGTAGGTTTGACTTTTTGTATTCGTTGGAGAAAAGCGTGGTTCGTTCGGTTGGTCGGTTTCCATGGGGTTAGTGGCAACAGTTAATGGCTACGTTTTATAACGTCACCCCTTATTCAAAGGAGTTTGTCTAGAGTTAACCTCCTGACAAAGTTTAAGGTTAAAATGGGTTGTGACGGAGATATTTATTAAATAATTATTATTGTTTAACTTAATCATAAGTAAAGATAAATTTGAAATTTTTAGAAAAAGTATTTTGGAATTTAGTGTTTTGAAATTTTATTTATAAAATATTTGTCTTTTAATAAAATGTTCAATTTTACGTATTAAGAAGATGATAAAAATGTCTCTTGTCTTTTATTGATATTTATACATATTACTTGATAAAAAAGATCCTTAAAAAAGATATTTGAAAAAAATATATGTATTTAGTAAATTCACCCCTCACAACTCATTATAACTAATTGAGTTGTGAATTGTAGATCATCCCTATTCATATAAACTAAATGTGGCCCCACTTCTCAACCATCAGATCTGAATGGACGACTGGGATCGCTCATGTCGCAACATTAAAATATTATTTCATTTTTAGTATTTTTTCTACAAAGCATTTTTTAAGAAATTTTGGGTGTTCTCTCTTCTTAGTGGGCCACACTTGGCAAGAATAAAAAATAATTTATATAAGATTAAATGACCAAAATGACCCTACAAGTTTTAGGGGTATTCTAGTAATTTTATATCATGGGAATATTTTTTATTTTTATCGTATGTTTCCTCATTAAATGTACGCATGCCCCAAATTTCGCTGTAAAATGATTCATAGAATAAAAATTACAAATGAAATACTCTAAGCTAACGGATTAAGATCTAATGCTCAGGAGCCAACTATACTCAGATCAAACGGTTGAGAGTAGGGGTCACATATAACTTTTATGTAGGGTGGGTCACGTGCAAAGGTTTCTAAATTATAAAGCCTAGTGGTAGTGGTAAACTAGCTAAAAAATGAATATAGAGTGGTAATTGGACCACAATATAAATGTGAAGCCATGCACAAATGACCAAGGAAAGAGTATTTTCTCGATCATGAGTTTTGGGTTCCATTTAAGGATTGATTATAAACCACTAATAGTAAATTGAATTCATGATCACGTAGATGTGACACCTTGAAAATTAAATGGTAACCATTCAACTTTTGTACTTTATTTTTTTTAAGTTGATAAAATGTGCATATGAAATTGTTATCTTTTTTTTAGGGTAATTTAGTTCTTGGGTTGAGGATATTATTTTCTCAATACTTGGAGTCTTACCATAAGATATACTCTTAAGAGAGTACATACACAAGCACACTCACATATAGGAAAAAGCTACTAGTATGTTGTCATCTAAAATGAATAGTTGTTTAGAGTATACTAACTGTCGTTAGATCTTAATTGGATAGTTGAAAATATATATTATTAGAACTAACTCTACTCTTATTAAACGACTGAACAAGGGTCACGTATACTTTATTACGTGGGGTCCCTTGTAAAGCTTTCTCATAAATTATAGAGCCTCATCGTAAGTGGTAAATTAACTAATAAATTAATATAGAGTGTGTAGCAGGACCACAATTTACACATGTTACCATGTGAAAACAACTAAGGAAATAACATTCTTCTCTGAGCCAAAACTCTAACATTCTTGCAAATGTCAAAATTCAATAATGTAAAGGAGGTAACAACAATTACTTTTACTTTATTAAATGTTTATACTCGAAAATTATGGCAAATAGGTTGCGACCTCCGCCTCGTTTTTTGGGATTAAACACATCGAGAGGGTATGGTAGAGAATGGGTCCCGTCCAATTGGGGTTCGAGCGAGAGACTGACCATGAGAACCACCCTTGCATGGATCACGGGCAGGAATTTAAAAAATTCTGAATTTCAAGAAAAGGGGGAGGAATTTAAAAATGATTTTTGAAATATATGAAAATAAAAGAAAGGAGAGAGAAAGAGAGGGGCATCCTGAAGCAAGACCCCCAGGTCCAACACCCATAGCCGTTGTCGGTTCAGGATCAATGCTAGTGCGCCAAATTTATATGAGATTTTGGGGTCCGCCGGATGAGGCAATCAAAGGCTAGTGTGCTTGAAAAGGTTCGAAAGTGCAAAATTTAGGTCATGGGAATGCTAGGTTAGGGTTTAAACCTATGGGGTCTAACGGAGATAGGGTTGGTACAGGGTTAGGCTGGGTTAGTTGTAATGCGGTAAAGTCTCGACGTATTTCAAAAGTTCCATCCCAAAAATGAGGGGGTCGACCCCTATTTATAAACAAATGACCCTCTTAATCACCGTCCAGAATCTGACATCAAATCTAGGTTGTATGATAATGTTGTTGGGGGTCTCACCAACGCCACTACCATTGTCGCTACATTTTGCCACCTTTAAAATATTTTAAAATGTAGATGCCAGTGGTGATCGGTATGATTACAATTGTGTTAGACACAATCCCTCAATTTACAGTTAGTGTGATCTTGGGCGGTGGCATGTCAGATGCCTCATAGCACCACCACCAATGTTGGCGTCACTACTGGTGTTTCACATTTAAATTTGGTCATGAAGTAGCTACCTGTAGAGTCAATGCTTCTACCACCCTCACCCATGCAATGATGGTCACTTCCCACCACAATAAATCCATGTCGAGGTCTGGCAGTGGGTGGTGATTTCGACCAATGAGGAATAGTTGTTGCTGATGCCTATGCCCAACGATGGTGACCCTATTTGCATGTGATGGTCACTTTTCACTTAAGTTTGAGAAATCCAATGTCACATAATTAGTGGCCTTGAGCCAATCAAGAGCTGACGTTATTGATATCGATATTCAACGATAGCGCTCCCATCGCCTATGTAATGTTGTACACTTTTCGCCAAGGTTTAAGCATTTTGATATCAGGCGATTGACGAATAAAGGGTCGATGTTACTAGCACCATCACCAGCGTTGTTGCCTCCAACGTTGAATAACATTGTGATTTTTTGTAGTTACATTCCAAGGGTGTCAGTGTGGTGATTTGAGCCACAACCTTGTTAACGCTACTGGCTATGTTGTTGAAGTTGGAGTCACAGAACCATGCTAAGACTATGACGAGGCCATCCCTGTCATTGGCACTACTAGTGGGGTCGTTGGCCTTAGGCTGTTCCATCATGGATCTTGAGTGGTTTTGTTCTGAATCTTCTCTTGTCTTAAGACCATTCTCAGGCTATTAGGGGTCTTTTCGAATTCTTGGGTTCGGGGCCAAGCCTTTGTAGTGGACTTTCGAAAGGCAGTCTGCATATTAGGGTACTAGTTTTAAGACTCTGAGTGGTCCTAGAGCTCGTAGTGGCTATACCGGTGTTCTTTGGTTTCCTGCAGGTCCCTCAGTCGGGATATAGGTGTCTACACTAACCAGACCATCAACTAAATACCATCCAATCTTATGTATTTATTATAATAAAAATCCAAATAATTTCAACTCATACCATAGATATCATTATTTCTTCATCAAACTCTAAATTCCAATAATTATCATCTTTGTAATTTATTTTGCTTTGACAACAATAGTTCATTACTTTCATTTCGTAATTTACTGACTAATTTAATATTTACATGGCATTCAAGAGTTTCCTTTCCACTTAAGGTCCACATTATCATTGCTCATTTTTATTCATAGAGATCCACACATCTTACATTGATGTCTAAGAAATAACGCTAGATTTTGTGAAAAAGATGCATCCCTTTTACCTTTTCTCTATCTAAATATAACACATTTCTTTATTTTATTTTATAACATTTGGAAGTCCCTTATACATAATTTTTATTGTATTATTAAATTAGTTACTACTTAGTAAATTGTTGTGTAAAGGGGCCCAATGCTAATCTTATCACGATTTCACTCTTTTCAAATTATATACACTATTTCACATGTGGTCATTACAACTAGAAAACCATTATTTAACCCTTGGATTACTATTCAACTATATATAAAGTGTAATTCATGCCACAAGTGAGATATTTGATAATGTAAACCCTTTTTATTATTTTTCATAGTAGTTTTGCCCAATATTTGGATAAATCAAAAGAATTAATTTGAAATTTTCCGGAATGAAATAATAGGTGTGATAGCTACAAGAAATATTTCAAATCTATGTCCCAAGAAACAAAAGGAGTATATGTTTGCATATCTTGTCAAACCACCAGTAATAAACTGGCAAAAAGGTACAACCATTTCCAATTTTTTTAATATAAAAAATATTTTTAACCTCATACTGGCATGTTTTCAAGTACAGTTTTGTCACAAATGTGCTTTAGGAAAATGGGGATCATTCTTATTTAAAAGCAACATTTTTCAAAACACATATAGAGCAATTAATAGACTTTCATATTGATAAAGATGAACAAATCTTGGAGAAGGTACAACATATTTTATTTTTCCCCTTCTCCTTTATGATTCTCTTCCCAAACATTCCAACACATTATTGAACTATAGGGAAAACGAGTTCACATAATCAAGACTTTTCTTAACAAATTTAGACAACAAAATATCACATGTTGCTCTCAAAATTGCTTGCCAACATGGGAAGCAGTCACAATAACATCGCCAAAATGTGTTACAATAGAACTAATAATTGAAGACAGAGCTTCATAAATAAATGTTAGTCAATAAAGTCTTATATCCACTGAAGACATTACTGCAGAAACCAATAGAGTCATTAAAGTCATATATCGTGAAAATATTGTTACATCATAAAACAACTAAACTTCACCTATGGACATATTTATATATGTATTTGGAAAACTTTTTGATGATCATAACTTTTTGGACATATACATGTTTGTACACATAACTAGCTTCCTCCGTAAATTGGGCAATATTTATTTATAAATTTAGATTAATCGCTAACATGGAATCTCCT